GGGAACGGCTAAAGAACAGGGATCGACTTGAGAGTAAGGCCACAGGTGGACGATGAATGGCCCCTTCCAGAGGAAATAATATGTGATTCTCTGAGACTTCTTGCCAAGTTCTGCAGATCTCGGCCTGGCAGCTCTCCAAGCCAGATAAGGGCTGTGACTGTAAATCCTCCCTTGAAAGACTTCGCTGGATGCGAAGGAGCAGAATTCACAGTCGATTAATAAAAGGGGTTTTTGTCAGGATAAGGAGCTTGCTTCCTGCTCTCGGGAAGCCTCGGTCGGAACATTCTCCAACTTGGGACAATCCAAATGGATAATAGATGTTAAAGTTCAGAATCAGGGCATGTGGGGGGTGGGGTGTTGCACAAAGCCAGGGAGGAGGGAGGCCTGTGCATTGTATTGTTCCTTTTGCCCAGAAATATATCTAGATGTACATTTGCAATATTTTAGGATTTTACATTTCATATTTTGCTATGTTTAATCACTTGTGTTTTTATCCAAGTTTGATGTGGATATGCCTTACGGTAAATAAATAATGCCCAGGAAAACAGAATAATAGGGAAAAATGATCTGGATAAAGGGAAAATAATCAAAAAGGGGATTGAAAAGGCCAAAATGACAACCTGCCTCTCATTTTAAAACCTGAACCACCGGGGAATCTGCTAAAGAAGTTGCATATATTCCAATATATTCCGTTCGGGGGTGGGTTGCTGCCGGTTTTATTACTGGTTTGCAACCCGCGCGCATTCCAGACGCGCTCTGCGCAGTCACTAAAATCCAATATGGCGGCAGGGAGGGAACTGGTTCAGGGACGTGTAAGGCCTGGGTCGCTGCCAGTTCTGTGACATAGGCCTGAATTCCACTACCGGTTTGGCCGAATCGGCAGCAACTAATCTCTGATTCAGTTTCTTTTCCCCCCAAGTTTTTTATTTTTTACAAATATATCAAATCAGTGGGTGAACAGTGTGGTACCTGGGCGCCATACATTCAAATCCAAGTAAAACTGATAAAGTTAATCATAATTATTACATTCAATCAACTTATGTTTTTCTAATAATAATAATACACATTTATATTAGGTTGCAATCTATCGTTATTCAACTATTCCATGTTTCCTCTTGTTATTACTTTTACTTTATTATATTAAAATGTCTACCCTAATATTCCCCCTTCTCTTCTTTCTATCCCTTCTTCGAGCTTCCTTTCAGTTTCTGATGAATCACATCCTAACGGTGCACCTTAAATTTTTGCTTTGAAGGAAACCGCGCAGAACTAAGTGGCATTTCCTTCTGTGTAAAAGTACAGAAAGAAAAAGAGGGGAAAAAAACTTGACAGGTGCTATCCTAGAAGACTGGATCTCATCCGTCTACTTCTGAATTGCAGTTTTCCAAACAGAAATGGGATTACGACTAAATGGACCACCGGTGGCTGGCTAGAGAAGATAAAAGCTGGAGATTCTGCAACCAGCCTGGGATCGAAAATCCCAATTCTATGTGCTTCTTAAGGAGGAAGGAACCTTGGCCAGGAGCCAGAGGGAGATAAAAGAAAAATGTATACCTTTGAGATGAAAATGCCCAACTGAGAAGCTTTTCCTCCTCGGATGTTGAAGCCCAGCTAGGAAGGAAGGAAGGAGAAAGTTGGCATAAAATGGAATGGCTCTTTTGAAGACCGGTGAATTTGCTGCTCAACACGGATCTCCGAGGCCACATTTCGACCCTGAAATAGTATAGGTTCTCCTGCTTGAGCAGGGGGCTGGACTAGAAGACCTCCAAGGTCCCTTCCAGCTCATTCCTTCTAACCCATCTCTTAGCAAGGAAGGCTCAGCAACCAGCAGCACCAAAAATACCCAGGATGTATTTTTCAGAAGTAACCCCACTTTACCAAGAAACGGTGATCAATTATGATCAATTCTGACCTCCCCAGAGATACAATACAGCACTACTTAATTTACGACTGGTCTCAGGGTCATAGGTCTACAGTTTGTTTATTTTTTGGCTGGAAACCAGCTGTTTTCCCCCCCTGTTCCAGGAAAAAATGTTCAATTGTGGACAATGGGTTCACTTCATGACTGCAGCATTCATTTTACTGCTGTCAATTTTCGCTGAACAACTGCCACCCAAAAAGTTCCATCAAAATCAGTCATGGTCACATGAGGTTCGAGTTAATGACCAGCCCGACTTAGGGACTGTAATTCTGAGCTCAATTAGGGTCATAAATTGAGGACGACCTGCAGCAGAGAGAGTACAGTGGTTTTAATCCCGTTTGAAGCCTGCCCTGATTTCACACATCCAAATCCACTTGCTTGCCTTCCTCAATAACTTCTTTGACCCCCCCCCTCTAGGAAGGAGCATCTGCTTCCAGACTCCAAATCCAGAAAAACCATAAGCTTTTTAAGACTGACTGACCAACTTATCCAGCAGCTGTGCAGAAGGACTTCGATCCCTCCCGAGGAAAACCAACATTTGAACAAAACTGCCCACAAAAAGACAAGGAGCTATTGCTCACCCCCTCAGTGCTACAATTCCCATCCCTTCTGGCTGGGGATGATGTGAATTGTTGGAGAATGCCAGCTTGGGAATAGAGGTGCCTCTTTGCCCCACCCTCTCTGAGAAGGAGTCACATCTCACCTGAGCCCCCGAAGGCTTTTTCAGGATGATGGTCCGAGGCAGGAACTGGGTTAACTCGTTGTTGTAATCCGAATGGTAAATCCTCTAGGGGGGAAAAAAATTCAAAGGATACACCTAGAAATAGCACCGGGGTTTCCATTCTTGGAAATATAAAATCTTTCTCGCAAGTACCCCTTTTCCCCTGGTTATGCCAGGAGAAAAGCATCAGAATTATTAGGTTTGCTGCAAAAAATGTCCCAGGATCCACAGCGACCCACCTCATGAGGGGGGATCCAGGTCGGAGGATTCTCATATGGAGGAAGGAAGACCACTGGGTAATCATCGTAGGGGATCCGGCTACCGCCTCCCATATCCATGTTGGCTCGGTCCAGAAACAAGAAAGCTCACCAACGATTCCTAGCAGGAGAGATCAGTGAGATTTCCACCCATAAGTTCCCCCATCATGAATTAATGCTTCCCTCCCCTTTCCAGACAGAGATAAACAAACAGTAGCTGTTCTTGAGGATATTTGCACAAGAGAATCAATGATTCCCCTCCCAAATACCATGCCCCCCTCCCCGTTTCAATGGCCGCCAAAGCAGTAGCAAAGCGGAGGCTGACATCATGTATGTATGTATGCATGCTGGTCTTGTTGTATTCGGGTCTTTTCCTGGGTAAGATTGAGATTATCTTGGCAACGTTTCGGCAAGGTCTCACTCGCCATCTTCAGGCTGGTGTTTTCGGCTTTGTGCTTGTGCGAGTAAGGAGTGGTCGGAGCTGTCATCTTTCTATAAATCTTGGTGGGTGGGTGTGGAGTGCTGGCTTTGTTTCATTCAGTGGATTGATTGGCTGTGTGAGTGTATCATGATTGGTACATTGGTGCTGGCTGTGTGTCTGTTGTTGTTTTGTGTTGTAACGGCAAACAACGGACACACAGCCAGCACCAATCATGATACAACCACACAGCCAATCAATCCACTTATTGAAACAAAGCCAGCACTCCACACCCACCCACCAAGATTTATAGAAAGACAACAGGTCCAACCACACCTTACTCGCACAAGCACAAAGCCGAAAACACCAGCCTGAAGATGGCGAATGGGACCTTGCCGAAACGTTGCCAAGACAATCTCAATCTTACACAGGAAAAGACCTGAATACAACAAGACCAGTATATATGTGTGTGTCTGTGTGTGTGTGTGTGTGTGTGTGTGTGTTTGAGGTCTTCATGGGTGTTTGTATGTA